TGATTCAATTGAAATTCGTGTTGGTATCCATCGATGAGATGATACATCTGCTTTATATGAGTGACTAAAGAATGATTGCAACACCTGTGAATAATTTTGTTCTGATTGACAGGGTGGGTGTGGGTGTGGATGTGGGTGTGAGTGTGGGGTGTGGATGTGGATGTGGATGAAGAGAAGATACGCCTACACTAACACTCCACGCCCACGCCCACACCCACCCATACCCCACACTCCACACCCACACCCGTTTTACCGAGAAGTATATAAGCTGCAATTTTCAGCGCAACAACTCGTATAGTAACTGAGGTCTGAGACGAGGGAATACTTTTGACCAGTAGTGTACTTACGAGACACCCTGGTTGCAATAATTTTGAAACCCTGTGCAAGTTTAAAATATGTGCATTTTTTCCAGATTTGAATGATTATTCGTTGTAGTCGACTTGATACACTAATGGTATCTCTTTCTATGAAACAATTTCACAAAAGTCCATCGTTTAACCTAGCTTGTGATACCAATCTTCAATATATTCAAAAAAACATTGATACCTGCACATTATATAATACTAGCGAGAGCCTGTGGATACTGCACGGCTGTTTCTTTTTCCTCTAACGTATGACGACGGACGCTTAACTTTTCATCCGGTAACGGACATACAGACACCCGATATTATGTATACGGATAGGTAGCCCTACGGTCTCATACTCTTACATCGCACATATTTTTATAGTCCATTAGCCTTCGGTCTTATAGTCTTATACCCCTGGTAGCTCTTCTAGCATTCTCCCCTTATTGTCTTATCCTCTTCTTGCCATACTCCCTTCATTATCTATGGGTACCCCCATATAATAGCTCTCGAGGGTCTATAGGTACCTCTATATAATGCTCTTGAGGGCCTATCGGTCCTCCATAGGATAGCCCTTGGGCCTTCTCCTTATAGCCTTATTTGACATTTAACCTTTGACCTTTAATCCGGCACAGACAGACATACACACTGAACATTATATATATAGATAGACATCAAAGACATGATTTTCCAAAGCGAGAGAAGTTTGCAGAAAAACTTAGTCTTTTCATATAAGAAATGAAGTACATGATGGCCATTGTTAGCGTTCACGCTCACGAAGAGCGACGAACACAGTTAACGTGCGTATGTGGTTTATTCTCTCTCTGTTTATTCTTTAAGAAAACAAACGTTTATATACGAACATAAAAATAAGGACAAAAGTAGAAAGGAATAGAAAGGTTAATCAAGGACAAAGAAGAGCAATAGAAACGAAATAACAGAAACGAAAATATCAAAGAAAAGAGAATAGATAGAATCGAGGTATATGTAGTTACAATACACTGTAACAGCCATATCTATTTGATATTTTGTAGAGTAAGAACTTCTTATTCTTGAATAATATGATCTATTTCTGATATAAACGATGTTTCAATCTCTTCCTTTGATACAGAATGTTCGAACGCCTTTCGCAGCCATCATGGAACCATCGTTAGTGTATGATAAATTACATTGAATTGCTTTCAGTTGTGGATATTGATCCAAATTATCGATGATTTTTGTCAATGCTACTTCAATAACTTTTGGTTCGAGTTGACTGTTTCGCATGTTTGCATTCTTGAATTGAGCAGCAATAAATTGGACTGACGGACCACTTCTCCCAACCATCATACTATTTATACCCGTGGTGAGTGAACGATATAGAGCATCGACGACTTCTTGCAAAGCTTCAGACGTAAGTTGAGACATATTCTTGGAATCATCAGGTAAACGAGAAAATTCACTCTTATCGAATGCCAAGGTGCCACTAGCCGCATTGCGATCAACCGTAAGTTGGCAGATCTGTCTAAAAATGTTGTCATCTCGACTAGACATAGAGAACTGTTGTCGTAATCTATGCTCGATAGAATCTATGATGAAATAGGTATGCACAAGTCAATATGTTGAAACACAAGAAAAAAGAAGTGTGAAGATATGGATATGAGTGAAATAGAAGCCCACAATAGTAATAAACTGATTTCTATTCATTATTACAGTTTAATGATATCATTTGCCTGTGAGTGTACATTAGATAACGCACAAAATCGAGTGTCTTCGATTGTTAACCCTTTGGTGCCGGGCGTGGTATATATACCACCTCAGATTTTAAGAATTACTCGAAATAGTATTTATACCACTCCAGCCGCCAAAGAGCTAAAGTAATAAATAATAATTTATTTAGCAACCTACATAAAACTTATTAATGTTCTATGTGGCCAAGGGGCGATTGTATCGCATGTATTCAGAAGCTTAAATAAAAAAACCTTTATTTTTTCAAAAAAACCCCGGCACCAAAGGGTTAATGTGATCTCGAATCTTTGATAGAGTCAAAAGACACAGGCTCAAGCTAAAGAAAAGAGCAATATCATCATGAAATGATGATCGGAAGATAGATTCGATTTAAAACATGAATAATAATGTCAATCAATCATATACGTATATAAGAATTTTAGAGATAAAATTTCTGAATAATATTATTTTTTACCTGATATTTTTCACGCAACAGAAAACCGACACACACACACATGTAGATGCATGCTGTCGAACAGAAAAGGAAGAAAACACGCAGTACTTAAGATAAGACTTTTTCTTCACATGATGTTGAGTATTTATCCAGAGATGCATGTATGTTGGCTTTATCCAATAGAGAATTGCCACGTATATATAATAATATTACTACAATATCCTGCCTATCTCTACTATGCTTTACTATGATTCATCAATTGCCACGTTAAGTGAAGGAGAAATTGATCCATTTGGTTGCATTACTATATTCAAAAAAAAATCAACGAAAATAAAGAAAAACATTGAAACAGCGATAGAGGTAGTACATGAGAAGAGTAAATAGTAGAATTTCGCTTTTAGGGTGTGTGTAGGCACCGTTTAAGGGATTCTAACGAATTAAGGGATAACATGGACGCCATTATAGGGGCTCGAGAAACAAAATTTGATTGGTTTATTTATGTTATAAATACAAACTGTTCTATCGAATTATGATTCATTGAAAAACAGTCAAAGTATCTCTGTTTGAAAACTGTACTCAAGAGAGAATCTGAAACTAAAAGCCCGATGATGTTTATTTCGTCCGAAAAAATTTAAGAAAAAAATTCTGAACAACGTACAAAAATTTGCAACAATTGTGGAATTGTTCTAATTATGCATAAAAAAGAACTTGGTAGTATTTTTTTTACAGCTACGCTCTTTTCAATTCTGACTTTTCTTTCGATGAATGAAAACCAGTTGACAAGTGGTTTTTTCGTTTTTATATAATAGAAAGCGTTTGAAGTATTCTAGCGAGACTTAAAACCTGTAAGCGTGTGATGTCTATCGAACGCGTAGATTTTTCAGGCGCCACGGCAACTAAACAAGTGAGTGAAAAATGAAGAAAATATTTGCAACAGAAATAAAATAGAAAAACAATCTAAGAAGATTAGTATCATTGTGCGCTGAAAAATATTTTTCTGTACTTGACTCTATGAAGGAAGATCAGAATAGATACTTGTGAAAGCGGATTTCTAGATTTTTGCTGAGAACAATGAATTTCTATTTTATTTTATGCATTATTTAAATTGTTCATTTAAAGTTCACCAGATCACGAATTGTTCTTTAACAATGTTCTTGATTTGGTGTTGTCATTTCTAAAGTAACACAGAATCTGACTCTGTTAGTTCTGATTCGTACATTCCAAACGCGAAAATTGCTTGAGAAACTTAAGCGAAAGCAGGCCATAAGATTTTTACAATAAATTTCAATTCTAATTGAGATTTTCCGAAAATTCAAATTGACTTTCTGCCATTTATCAATAATAGCAACTTAAACCATACTGCAAGATAATTTAAAATCAATGCTGTTATGGTTGCATTAAGCTGTAGCTTGACTTTTTCTTTTCGATGAGTCATAACTCGATAAAACAGTTTGCATTTATAACATAAATAAACCAATCAAATTTTGTTTCTCGAGCTTCTATAATGGCGTCCATGTTATCCCTTAATTCGTTAGAATCCCTTAAACGATGCCCACATACGCAAGTTTTACACATCGACAGATGTCGCTACACTAATTCTCTGTCACTCTTTGGATTTTAACAGTCCGAAAAATCCTTTTGTTTTGCAGTTGATTTATGTATTAAGAGTATTTTTTCCAGAAAAGTGGAGTTCAAGAACGTGAGTTTCATTATAATGCATAAGAAGATTTCGAGTTCAACATTACTTGAAAGACTCGTCCAACTCTGATAACAGACTAGTTATGAATTCCGGTGGATAATGTTCATGAACACTGATTTAGAACAATTAAAAATCGATTGATTATGTTATTCATTTTCAATCCGTTCAGTCGCAAGTAAAGCTAAGAAGCGATGAATTATGTGGAATGTACCAGCTGCGATACTTTAATGAGGCTTAGTACGAAACCTTTTTTATTACCGAACCTTTGAAAGGTTTCGTAGGCTCGTACGGACACTTTCAGAATATCACAAAATACTACTGAACTTTAAAGGTTTGGTCTGAAACCATTTTGTTTTCAGTGAAGATGTTATGCACAGCCCTATTGAGTGTTTTCTTATTTCAATAAATGACATGAAACGCATCGGCAAATTAAACTGTGCATTTCTTTACTATTTAATTTCGACAAATGAATCGATTGCTGAAAAGCAAGAGTTGAGAACAGCAGATTGTATTTGTCTGTTGTTCAAGATAGATAGGTCAGTCTGCTTTTCAATTGAATCAATATAACCCTATTGGAAATCTTTTACACATGACCTGGTTTTCCAAAGATCTCCTAGAAAATACGTTTTCAAGTTTCTTCTTTCGCATGGCGAACATCGGAGTATTCTGGCTGCTTTCTATCAAAAGTTATTCCAAAAATAGTCAGGTGTCTTATATTTTTTCAATAGAGAGTAGTTTAACAATAAATTTGTTATAGTTCAACTTCGTGTATATCATTTTGATTCATTTTACTTGTTTATTCTTGTCCTTGTTGATTTCTCTTTAATTCTAATTTTAGTTTAATATTTTCTAATAATTTATTATGAGCATATTGAATTTGTTTTAATGTAAAACTACGTAGACACCATAATGTTTCACAATAAATATCGTCAATTAATAGATTCACAGATGAATGTTGAATATCTTCTTTTATTTGAAACGATTGTTTTAATCTAACTAAATTAAATTGAGAATGAACTTCATTTGTTATTAATTTATTTGAATTATTAATAACTGTTATTATAGTGGATTTAGCATTAATATGAAATATATTATAATTGTTAATAGTAATAGGAACCGATTCTATTATATAAGATTTTGAATGAGTTGAATTAAATTGTTTTATAAGTGTATGTTCTTTAACTAATGGTTGTAATTGTTTTATTTTGTCACTAGATAAAAACTCAAATATACTATCTGCGGATGATTCTATTGGTATTGTCGTTGTATAACGAAATGATACTGGATAGCATAATAAAATTAATAATATTGGAAGTAAACATGAGTAAAATATTGCAGAAGATTTCATTGAAATAAAAAGAATATTTGTTGTTGTTTCTTTTCTGAATAATGAAAGAATCTGAAACGATTATAGTAAGTGTAAGTAGTACATGTTCATACAATTGTTAAACGTCATGAAGCTTTCCATTATGTATGATAAAAAGAAGAATTGAAATTAATACGGTATATTCAATTAGCAGTATGGATAATTTAGACAACTAAGTTGGCATGCAAAATTATGATGACCTCATTTATTGTGAATTATTACTTTACTAGGAAATTAGTTCATTTAATAGTTATACGTTCTATATGTTTATTTCTGTTCAAGTTACTTCTGCGAAACCAATTTAGTATTGAAATAAGACAAGAACAGTTTGCTCATTAATCTTTTATGCGTCTTGTATATTTCAAAACACTAATTATGTTGTCAGTAGCAAATGCTTTCTCATTGCTCGTTCAAAAAGATGGTTCTTACCACGAATTATTATCTTAACTTCCTATTTAACAATGAGACAAAACCGTTCCGATCCACGGATTATTACAAGCTATTACCTATTTAGAAAATGAATAATATATGACTGTGTTCTAAATAGCTTTTGATAGAGAGCTTCGGTTTTCGCCATTCAAAAGGAGACGTATACGCATGTTTCTAAAAGCAAGAACTTTTTCAGAAAGGTTTTCTAAAACAGGATTTCTAGGAGGACTTTGAAAAATCAGGTGATGTCTCATAACTTTTCAACGAGATTATATTGATTTTTTTCCTGGGTTCGTAGTCCAAAATATTCTCTTCAGAATCGGAGTCAAGAGAGATCTTGATTTTCAGCAGTTCGGATGTGGTATCGGAAGTTCCAGAACTAGTGTTCAGTGAATACTGGCAACCTCGAAAACAGATGAATCATAAGTGATTCATCATGCTGAGACTCATGGCAATATTTGTTTGTGGAAAAGAATCCCAAAATCTGGTGAAACCAAGTTTTTCGAAAATTAGGGTCTCAGGCTATTTTCAATTAGTATGAAAAAGTTCATAACTCACCCAACAACAATCAGAACTAGTTGAAAATCTCAGTATATGGTTCATTTTTGTTAGACATGATTGTAGGATCGAAAAGTTTGAAAAGCCGTGTTTGAAATCTCGTCAGACAATCATAGGGTTCTTTTAATACTTTTTTGTAGATTTCTAATAAATAGAATAAAAAACAGTCTAAATGCTGTACATCATGAGGCTTTCGACTGATTCTAATGGTTGTTGAATGAGTTGTAAATTCACGACTCGTTTCTCGTATGATTATTCGCATCTATTCCTATAATCAAGGTAAATTCTAAAAATTCATCCCTAATCATAAAATAAAACTCTCTAACTAATTGTTCTCTTTCTTTTAGTTGCATATTTATTCTCATGATAACACCTAGTAGACGTGCATGATTAGACCTGTTGTCTAAAGCTGTATTATTTACATCAATATGTGAAAATGTAATCTTTTTTAATTTGTTTCCTTGGAAATAAACAAAGCTAGAGAAGAAAACAGAAAGAAAGAAATCAATTCAGTGTTACGACATAATCTAAACTTTAACTCTATCAAACTTTTGTTTATCAGAATGAAGAAAACAAAAATATACACGTTGTTAGAATTTACCTGCTAATAGAAGGTAACTTCAGCATTCGTTGAAAGCTAGCTGCCAGAAGAAAAAAATATGCAAAAGACTCATTATGGCTGCTCTAACCAATAGAAGAGTATGTGGACGTCCATATTTTCTCGTTTTTACGTTATATTAACCGGAAAAAATGTAATAGAACTGTTTCTTCCATATACAGCACGTGTCTCTTTTGATTCAATAGAGCTTTAGTGTATAGCACTTTATCTTCTGCCTTTTAATGTCGCATACAGAAATCTGTATGTGGACATAGTGGCCACCTTGTCGTATGTGAGATAAAAAGACACGCTGTACGCCAAGGCTCTAATGCAAGAAGAGAAAGAAAAAACAAGAATATTCATAGAATGAAGGAAATGTTTGTTTTTACTATAAAAAGAATTGTCGACAGGTCTGTTCAGGGAGTTAAAGTTAAGAAGCAAAAGAGGAATTCAATGCGTATATATTTATATATAAGCCAGATAGAAAATAGAATGCATACATCTAAGTGACTAATACATCTAATCGAGTATATAGGCATTGGTTGAATTCTTATTCAACGAAAAGAGAGAAAGGAAAGAATAAAATATCATCGGTGGCCATTTTTGGCAGGTATTGTGAACAGGTAACTTCTTTCAACGCAGTACGCTGTAAATCATGCTAGCAGTTTTAGCAACTAAAAGCCAGACATTTTTCCGGCATATAGTGCTAGTCAAAAAGCTGTCTGACTCTATGAACCAGTCAACGGTGTGTCAGTCGTTGAGCTAACAGCTTTCAGTTGAAAAATTATCTGGCACACATGCCGGTCACCTATTGCAACTAAATGTGCTCCAGATACTTTTTCACTTTTTCATGTAAGAAAGCTGCAAAAAATATTAAAAGATTCATAATTTTATTTTAATTCTCGAGCACTCTTTATATTATGTTTGCAAGCCTGAGATGCCGAAATGCTCTAATCGGGGAAAGAATGCGTATTTAACTACCGAATGTCCGAAAAGTCATTACACCAAAAGTAAATTTGTTTTTCTCCACTTGTTCTCAATCTATAAGGC